CTGGGGACATCCTCTTGTCCCACCCTGCTGTGGGCACAGCTCTGAAGGCTTTGGGGCAAACGCCTCCTCCCTGGAGTCCTTAACTCTGGGGTTTGGTTTGGTTTCTTTATTCCCTCCACCACCAAAATACAGGCACATTTTTCACCTGGAGAAGGCGGAGCTTGACAGAGTGAGCCTAAAAACCCTGGGGTTTGTCCAAGAAAAATCAGATTGACACAGAAAAACAACCCCTTTGATTCTCAAAGAGATGGAACCACTTCAAAGTCTGGGTTTGGGTTATGAGTGTCTGGAAGAGGAGGTTTTCCAGAGGCTGTCCCAGGGTTGGTGACAGCCCTGAGGGTCACTCAGAGGTGCTCCAGACACCATTCCCAGCCCACCTATGGTCATCCCAGGGAGCACAGCTGTGTGGGGCAGGGAAAGGCCCCCGAGGGCACAGGGACCCATTCAGGGACAAACCCAGCGGGGCTCGGCTCTCCTGGGCTTTGCTCAGGCACTTCTGCGTGGGACTGGGGCAGGAGAGCCCCGGGGGCTCTGTCACCAGCAGGGACCTGGCTGGTGCTGGGCAGGGGTCACCTAAGGAAGGGACAACTGCCCTCAGGGGGCTGCTGCCCAGTCGAGGGGAAATTCATGGGTCAGTGAGCATTTGAGGCTTCTAAAGTGCAGTGCAGGTTACATGGTCTTTGCTGTAGACTGTAAACTCCTCAGGACAGACTCCTTGCCCTTATTTTTTTTTAATTTTTTTTTAATCTGTAAAGTGACATTCCAGCTGAGAAAATCTTACCCCTAAATAACTACTGCTACAGGAAAAACAAGAATATTGGTGAAAGGAACAGCCTGTGCTCCCCTTGCCAGCATCCCCCCACGGGGTTGCTTCCCAGGGCCATCCCAGCTCCATCCACAAGGAAGTGGCACAGAGTTCCTGCCAGCTGGGGACCTCTGGAATGCCCCCTCCAAAATGCCACCTCCAGTGCTACCACCTGCCTCCCTCCAAGCAAAACTCCCTTTTGTCATTAAAGCTGAGGTGTTAGTTCAGGCTCAGGGGAGTCTGCAAAGCTTCTGTCCAGGCTGGGAAGGGAGAGAGAGGTGGAAAAGTGGCTGGGAGGAAATTTGAGGGCTCTTCTGTGGAAAAAGCTCTCTGAAGAAGCCAAGTTCAGCCTTAAGTTTGTCACTGGAGTAAAACCTTCCCAAGATGAAACAGCTGCAAAGGCAGGAGCCCTCATGGGATGGGTGATTGCTCCTCTCTAGGTCTCTTCCCTGTCTAGGAAATTAGAAACCAGAAATTGCCCAATCCATTCTTCCTGCAGGACACTGATCCTTTAAGAGCCACCACCCAGCTGCAGTGGTCACCCAACCACAGAGTGAACTCTGCAGGACTCCCACCATCCCCAGCCACCCGAGCAGGACCCGCCTGCACACCTGGGGTAGCTTCACAGCTGTACCACGGGCACAGGGCTCCCTGCAAAGTCCCTTTTCAGATGCACCTGGGATGTCCAAGAGGTTCCTCATGGACCTCAAGGATGACAGCCTTCCATTGACATCTCCAAGCAGAACTAAAATTTACTCATTGACTGTTCCACTGACTGCAGCCCACCCCATGTGTATGGACACAGGATATTTCCCCCTGCTGTTGACAGCCATATTTATTATTTTTAATCTATGCCCATAAATTGGCAAGTAGGGGGAAGCAGATAAAATGGAAAGAGGAGCTCTCAGGAGATCAGTTGGACTCATTAAATGTTTGGCACTCTGTGATTATCCTTTGGCAATGAAATGCCACTGCTACATTTTAGCAGGGAACACGATACCTTAATGTACAGGAGAATCTCCTCAGCCCAATTCTGGCACTCTTGAGAGAGGAGAAATTCAATCATCTGTGACCTGGATTGTATTTTTTAATGTCTGCCAAGCTAGATAAAATACTTAAATATTCACTTTTATATCAGCCCACATGAGGATTTGAGCATTTCAGGTTGTGTAACTCAGCATGGCCTACTTTGGGGGGAAAGTACAGAAATAGGCACACATGTACAAACCACTGAGTGTGCAGCATGTGGGGCAGACAGACAGTGTTAATTAGTGTGGCACACTCCCAGCAGCACCACCCAGAGCAGCCAAGGAATTGGTGTCACTTCTGTTGGACTGCAAAGGTCACCTGAGCAAAAACCAGGTGATTTGACTCAAAGAGAGGTGGTGGAGCGTGGCTGAGTCCCTCAAGGGAAGGCACTGAGGATGGAATGGCTCTCATGGGACTGTGGTGTTAATGCTCCAGTGTGGAGGTCCTGGAGTTCCTTTCCCACCTGAATGATTCCTGGTGCTTCCCTGCCCTGTGGGGCTGCTGGGAGGGTTGGGAAGAGCTGGGTGTGCCATGGCCAGGCCAGGAATGGGTGTCCAAACCCACCCTGAGGGCACTTCTCCAGCAGCCCCACCAGACAGCTCTCTGGGGTGAGGATGGGGGATCCCACCCCTGCTACCAAGAGAGCTGAAGTGTTTCCATGGCAGTTGTGGTCCCTGAAGAGGAGGGTGGTGATGTTTCCCACCAGCTGGCAGCGCTGGCAGGTCGTGGTGCTGCTGGCTTTGCAGCTGGGAATGTGAGCTGGGTTTGTGCTCTCAGGGATTTCCCTCAGCAGAGCAGGACGGGTGAGGACGTGCTGGGGCTGCTGGGATGGGTGCTCTTACACCAGAGGGGACATTGGGGGGTGTAAGAACACAAAGATGTGAGGAAATGGGGGTGAGCCTTTCCTGCCCCCCTGGGGCTGCCAGCTGTGCATCCGCTCTGCACAGATGTGGCCTGAGTGACCCAAATGACCTTTAGGGTCCCTCCCAGCCTTCCTGTGATTGCCAAGCACTTTGCCCTGCCACGGCACCAATCCTGGCAGTGCCAGTCCCAGCAGGGGTGCTGTGAGGTGGCAGGGCCGTGGGACAGCCCTGACCTGCCCCACAGCCACGGATCCTGCCCCATTGCACGGCCCCATGTGTCACACACAGAGCAACTGGTGCATGAAAAGAAGGGACCTGGTCCTGCAGGGGCACTGGGCTGCCCTCAGCTCCCACCAGGACTGGCTCAGCTCTGCAGAACTGGGACAGTCCCCGAGCCAGGGATGAGCCAGTCCCCTGTGTCCCTGAGCCCCTTCCAGGCCAGTGGGGCTCCTCAGCTCTGCTGGTCCCACAGTGACTCTGCAGCCCCTCCACCTCTGGAACAGAGAAGAGCAGCTCCACCAGCCCCTGCTATTTTCTCTCACAAAGGGTTATTACTCTTCCTAAATTACCTAAATAAACCAAATTTCTCTTCGCTTACACATGGTTTTGTGGTTTTATCTATGTTAGTAATGCTCCACCAGAAACTCCACCTTAACTGTTGCCCTGAATTTTTACTCTGCCTCCTTCTGAACCTGCTCCAGCCAAACCTCAGCTGCCTTTCCAAGGAAAGCAGGTCCTGAGCATTGCAAGGGCTCTGCAAAAAGCTCTTGCAGCCATTTCCCTGCATCTCAGAGGGTCAACACCAGAATCAAGAGCTCTCAGTGTGCACCAGGAATTCCCTGGTCACCTGCAGGGCACGGTGTCTCCCTGCCCCTCTGGTCACTCCTGCTCCTTGGGTTTTGCAGATGAGTTATTCCCTGTACCCTGTTGCTTCTTGCCTTGCCCTCTCCCACATCCCAAATCCCTTCTGCACCCCTGCTCAAGCCTACAAAGCAGCACAGCTCCCAGCCCGGGTGTGGAAGGTGTCATATCCAAGGGACAAGAGACCATTTTGTGCCACTCAGGAGAAGGGAGAGCTCCTGGGGCATTTCCCAGCCGCTGGGCAGAGGATTCACCACACCTGGCCATGAGGGGTTTGTCACTGGGGGCAAATGAGCAGATGTTTGGGACATTGCTCAACACCAGCATTTCCCAGGAAATCAGCAACCTGCTCTAGTGGAAGGTGCCCTTGGCAAGGGATTGGAATGAGATGATATCTTTAAGATCCCTTTTATCCCAAACCATTCTAGGATTTTGTGAATTTAACCATCAGCATTTGGGTCTCCATATCCTCCCACCTCTTTTACAGGTCTGGCTGCTTCTACATAGCCAAAATCCTTCTGAAGTAGCCATCACCTGCAGGGCTACTGGGAGAGGCAGGGAACTGTGCACAGAGCTCAGGCTTTGTCTGTTCAGGGACTCGTGATCCAGGGGAACACAAGAGGGGGTCTGGGGACATCACACTGGCCAATCCACAGCTGGTCCTGGCCCGTTTTCCACAGGTGGGGAACCTCTCCCAACTCTCTGCAGGTTTTCACACCTGCCTGTGATATTTCCAGTATTTCCCTCCCCTTTGCTCTGCCTTCCTCTGTGCCTCCTCCCTTTGCAGCGCTTTGAAAAGTCCTCCATGGGTCACGCTCTGTTTTGATGGGAAAACAGGGGCTGGTTACCCAGCTCCTCCATCAGTGTCCATACCTGGGACAAGGGATGGAGCAGGATCAGGTAGGGGGAATCAGTGCCTGGCTCTGAGCTGATCTCAACTGTACAGGCACAGTTTGTGGGGTTGCAAAGTGCAAGTTCAGAGTTTACCTGAAAGCAGCAGATTGTCTGATTCACTTTTTCCCAAATCACACTGAAATGGTGGCACGCTGAGGCCAAGGAGAGCTGGGCTTGGGGGAGCTCCCTGGACACCTCTACTCCTTCACTGGAAAAGGCAGGACAAGCCCAGACAAGGCTGGGTCTCCCTGCCAGCCACTCCAGCCTGGCCTTCCCCCGCTGCTCCTAGAAAACCAGCTCTGAGAATGGACACAGGCTATCCACTAACATAGGTCACTAGCACCTCGGGCTGCTCATGCAGCCTGGTCTGGTGGAGGGTGTCCCAGTCCTGGTTGGACTAGATGGGCTTTAATGGTGCCTTCCAACCCAAAGCATTCCACGATTTTCCAGGGAGCAACAACACAGGGGTATGACTGCTACTAAACGTGGTGTGTTGCTCTGTAGGGAAGGAGGCTCCTGCCCACACGCTGCCTTTGGAGCTGCCTGACCCCAGAACCACCAGCAGCAGCGTCCCCAAGCCCACCCCTGAGCTCCCGTGGTGGCACCAGCTGTGCAAACAAGGCTTCTTCTCCAGGAGCTTCTCGTTATCACAATTAATATTTAGCTGGAAAAGCACTGCTGCCTCTGGGGCTCCTTCTCTCACAAAGCACACTCAAGGCCAGTCTCCGCTCTTGCTCCAGGTGCAAATCTGGAGTAATCCTATTAACCTGCCTTCAGAGAATTTCAGAAGTCATTAACTGTGAAGGTGCTGCTAATTTCTGGTCTCACTGCCTCCGAGGTGTATCCTACCAGTGCTGCTGCTGCTGCTGCTGCTGCCCGAAGGGTTTTGGACATAGTGTAAAAGCAAAGCTCCTGACCGAGCGGGGCCCCCGCCTGCCGGCAGCGACCTTGGGGAGGTGCCCACACACACCTGGAGGTGCCCATACACACCTGGAGCAGAGCTGGAGCCCCGAGCCCGCCCAGCCCGGGGCCCTCAGTCCGACCACTCGTTATCGTCCAGCTCGGAGTCGTCGTCGGACTCGCTGTACTCCACCGCGATCCGGCGCGACAGGATGGTCGCCACGTCATTGCCCACGGGCTCTTTCTTGGCCTCTTGTTCCCACTGCTCCTGGACCTTCCGGAGTTGGATTCCTACAGGAAAAGGGGGGAAGGCTTCAGGGGGGAGTGCACCCAATGTGCAGCATCCCCCCCCAGTTGTAAAGTATTGGCTGAGACAAGAGGGAGGCTGCCCTGGTGGTTACAAAGTTATACGGGATGACAGGATAGGGTTGGTAGGACAAGAGGGAATGGTTGTAAACTGGGAGAGAGTGGGCCCAGATTGGATGTCAGGAAGAAATTCTTCTCTGTGAGGCTGGTGAGGCCCTGGCAGAGGTTGCCAGAGGAGCTGTGCCTGTTCCTGGATCCCTGGAAGTGTCCAAGGCCAGGCTGGACAGGGCTTGGAGCAGCCTGGGACAGTGGGAGGTGTCCCTGCCCAGGGCAGGGGGTGGAATGGGTTGAGTTTTAAGATCCCTTCCATCCCAAACCATTCTAGGATTTTATGAGTATCTATGATTACAAAGCTTTATCACAGAATAAAGCTCCTCCTCTGCTTCCACTCAGCCTGAAGATACTGAACCTTCTGAAAGGTTAAATTTACCATTTGACCTGGAGATTTGCAGGAAGGGGAAATGCGAGAGACCTTGGAGCACATCATCCACTACGGCCTGGGAGGAAGCCACATGCTGGGAGCTGCCAGCAATCCACCTCCAGCCGCGGAGGTCGCATCCACCCTGCCTTTATTCCCCCGGCAAGCTCCCGCCATCCTCACCCATCACCTGGCCACCGAGCGCTCGTCTTGCCCTCGGTGCCGCCCAACTCTGCTTTGCCGCGGGGGCTCCGCTCCCCCCGGGCCGGTGCCCGCACTCACCCCTGCGGATGGCTGCCAGCAGGTCGCTCCGGGCGTCGCTCATGGGCATCAGCGGGATCTGCGGCTTGCGCGGCTCGGCGGCGGGCGCGGGCGGCGAGGCGGAGTGCGCGGGCGAGGCGGACACGGCCGGGGGCCCGGGCGGCGGGGGCGGCGGGGCCACCGGCGGTCCCATGGGGCCGCTCTGCGGCGGCGAGGCGGAGTAGGGCCCGGGGGGCGCGGGGGGCGGTGACGGGGCGTAGGACGGGGCTGCGGCCGAGCCGGGGGCCAGCGCGGGGGGAGCCGAGATGGGGCTGTCGAAGGCGGTCTGTGCCGACGGGATGACGGGCGGCGGCGGCGGCGGGGCCGGCGGCACGAAGTACTCGGCCATGGGCACCGGCTGCGGGCTGCAACGGGGGCACGGGGGTCAGCGCCACGAGAATCACAGAGCCCGGGGATGGCCGAGATAGGACGGACCCGCAGGGGTCATCCAGTCCCACTCCTGGAACATCCCAACAGTCCCACCCCCGGGCATCCCTGGGAGCTCTGTCCAAACGCTCCTGGAGCTCCGGCAGGTTTGGGGCTGGGACCATTCCCTGGGGAGCCTGCTCAGTGCCCTACGACCCTCTGAGGGAAGAAACTTTTCCTGATATCCAACCTAAACCTCCTCTGACTCAGCTTCAGGCCATTCCCTCGGGTCTCATCACTGGTCATCACAAACAAGAGATCAGCATCTACCCCTCCGCTTCCCCTCAGGAATTTGTGGACTGCAGTGACCTCTCCCCTCAGTCTCCTCTGCCAAATGCCCTTAACCACTCCTCACAGGCTTCTCCTCAAAGCCCTTCACCGTCTTCATGGCCTCCTTTGGACACTCTCTAGTATCTCAATGTCTTTTTTATATTGTGGTGCCCAAAATTGCCCCCAGTATTCAAGGTGAGGCTGCCCCAGTCCAGATCAGAGCAGAACAATCTCCTGCCTTGCCTGGCTGGTGGTGCTGGGCCTGATGCCCTCTAGGGCACACCTGGTCCCCCTGGCTGCCAGAGCACTGCTGACTGAAGGATTTCCCATTACCCATCCAGCATCCATCACCCATCCCATCACCCATCACTCATCCAGCATCCATCACCCATCCCAGCACCCAGCACCCATCCCAGCAACCAGCTGGCTCCGCTCTGGCTTGGTTTGCTCTGAATCCCAATGAAAGCTCTGTCCCAGAGCCAGAAGGGTGGTGGAGCTCTGCAGGTGGGATGGGCTATGGGTAATGCAGTGGTGGAAGGCAGGCAATACCCCAGGGGCAAACCCTCCATCCACCCTGCCCCCTTATCTGGGATGACATTACCCCAAAAGCACTGCTGACTGATTTGGCCTCTCACCAGCAGTTTTGGACCATGAAAGCTGCAGGAACGGGGTCTGACCCCCTGTTTCTGGGCTGATGGAGCAGGAGAGACCTCCCCTGCAGCTTTCCAGCCCAGAAACGGGGGGTCAGACCCCCAGCAAGCCCCCCTTCCTTTGGACACCCCTCCACCAGCGAGCAGGCGGAAGCTTTACCCGTAATCCTTGACTAGGTGTGGTCTGGGCCCGTTGAGGACGGCCTCGGGGGGCGGCGGGGCGTGGGGCTGCTGCAGGCGGGTCAGGCTGTTCTGCCGGCTGCCCGCGGCCGGCCGGAACACGTGCTCCGGGGGGTTGGTGGCCGCCAGCCCCTCCTTGTGCTCCGCAGGGGCCAGGTGGGCCGCCGGGGCCAGCAGCTGCGCGGGGTGGTTGGGGCTGGCCGGGTACGAGTGGTCGGCGGCGTCCGACGCGTAGGACCTGCAGCACAGGGAAAGCCGGCTGTTGTACTCCTGAGGGAGCTCGGGGGTGTGGGTTTGGGAGTATTTTGGGGTTCAGATGACAAAACAAGAAAAGGCCATGAAAATATCGATGTACAAGACAGCAGAGTGAGAGCAGAGGGGAGGAGGACACAACAGAGCTGAACCACTCTCTTCCCGTAGCTGCGAAACGCAAAGTGCTCCGGTTTTATCCCAGCGCCAAGGCTCCTCCTGAGCTCCAGGATGACACCCTGGGGACACCAGCTACCCACAGGCTAACAGCTGAGCACCCCAACCCTGCTGTGGGCAACACGTCCCCCACAACGACGGAGAGGAAGAGCAAAGCAAAGGAGAGCCGTGAGCTGAAGGTGTAGGAGGTAGAACCTGCCTATTATCTGGGGACAGTGATCCTTCCGATGACGCCATGTGATAGGGGGATGGTGAGAACCTGTTATCCGGCCGGAACTCTTTATCATACGCCATCATGTTCCACTCCAGGCGCCGGTTGCGGGCTTTCCTCACTTTCTTCACCTCCCGGGTGGAGTCCTCCACCAGCCGCTGCTCCTGCAGGGACACAGAGCCATGGCTCCATCTCCAGCCCGGCTCCCTGGACCAGGAGCAGTCCCTGGGGAGCGTCACCCAGCCCTGTGAGATGCACCCAGTGCAGGGAATGGGAGCATGAAGGGTGCACCAGGAGGTGGCTGTCCCCAGGTCCCGAGCACCCCCAGCTCCTGCCCCCTTGTCCCCCTCCTGCCCCCACCCACCTTCTGCCTGCGCTTCTCCTTCCTCTTGTCTTCTGTCGCCTGCAGCATCTTCTCCTTCCATAAGTTGAAGAAGTAGGAGGGGTCGGTGTAGAATTTGAGGCCATCCTTCTTGTCATCCCTGGGGGTTAGAAAGGTGGGGGAGAGGATTACCAGCCACAGGAGAAGACCCCCGTTCCCATTCCCGAGGGCTTTGGGATGACCATGACCATGAGCTGCTGCCCCACCACAGACACATCCAACACAGCAGCCACCACCTGCAGGCTGTGGACACATCCCAAGCATCCCACACAATGGGGGTGGCAGCACAGCACACAAGTGGGGGCACTCCTGATCCCTTCATGGAAGGGACCCCTCGGAGCCCCAGGACGAGCTGTGCCCTGTACCTGTAGGGCGTGAGGATGTTGAGGGGCGGGGGTTTGTCGCAGCGCTGGTACATCTCCATCACCGGGTTGGGGATGGAGTTGCGGGACACGACCTGCTGGTTCTGCACCGTGGAGCTCTTGAAGGCTTTCCTCATGTTGATGTCCTGCAGTGAAACTGGGGGGCACAGGAAGGACAAGGGATGCAGGGGTGGCCTCAGCCCGCCGAGCACGGCGGGGCAGGGTCCGGCCCCGAGGGCACGTCTGGACATCGCCCCAGACCAGCCCCGGCCCCTCACCTTCCTCCACGGTGGAGTCCAGCTGCGTCACCTTGATGACCAGCAGGTCCACCCTCTCCTGCAGTGAGTTCATCCTCATGTAGAAGCTGTTGGCTTCGTTGAACAGCTCTCCAAAGATGTCCTCTGCATGCCTGCCTGGCAGGGGACAACGCGCCTGTCACAGAGGTGGCTTGCCCAGCTCAGCCCATCCCTGGAGCACACACCTCCCCACTGGCTCCATGGGTGCTCTCCCCAGCCTGGATTTCTGGGAGCTGAGCCTCATTCTCTCTCAAAGTGATGCAAGGAGGCCGGGGAGTCCAAATGAGTCCCCCTTTCCAGAGAGAGCAGCACCCACTGGGGCACAGAACATTCACAGTGCCCCAAAGAGCCCTTGGATCCATCAGGCCAGATCAACCAAAAAAAATGACCAAAAATCACACAACATGACCTGGGGAAATTCTGCCCAGGTAGAAAGCCAAGAGCAGGGCAGTGGGGACAGTGCCACAGCAGGGAGGACCTACAATTTGTTTCACTTTATCCTGCATCTCTCAGTGCATCCCTACAACAGCTTATTGATTTATGGTTATTTATTTAGGATTATTTAACTTTTTATTAGGGTTATTCCTGTCATGGAGCTGAGTGAGGTATCTGGCAGAGCACTGCTGATATCTGTAGGCTACAGCACCCATCCCATCCCATCCCATCCATCTCCCCAGATCCTCAGGGTTTCCTCCAACTCCACCTCTCAAACAATTCCCCAGATCAGGGCACTTTCAGAACCTCCTCAGAGCACTCACCAGCCTTGTCCTATTTGATTCCCTTTTCCCTGGACTAGGAAGCCTGAGCAGACGTGGGTGCTGCTTGTGTGAGCCCTGGCACTTCCAGCAGCTCCCTACACCCTGGGTTTATTTTTCTGGGAGTATTTTAGAGCAGAAGCTACTTCTGGAGGTGTGTGAAAGAGGGGGGGCCCTGAATAGCTTCTCTCTCTATTTTAAGTGGATATTCAGCATGAAATAGGTTGCCCCTGTTAAACCTTCACGCTGGTGTGTGCAGTGCTCTCATCTGCCCCTTTCCTGCTGAGATCAGTCCCAGGGCAGGGAGACAGCTGCAGGTTTAGACCTTTGATAGAGACCTCTCTTCCTCAAAAAGCTCTAACTTTAAAAAAGAGTAGCTTGGGGTATTTTAGATCTTCACCTGGCCTTCCTATTTCTGGCCAAGTGGAGAAGCAAGGGGATCCTGAAGGCTTTCCATCCCCCACTGCACAGACCAGCTGTGGGAGGAAAATGGGTCTCAAAATGGGTCTCAAAATGCCAGGTTCCCATTTTGAACTTGGCCAAAAAACCCAAAAAACCAAAAACCAAAAAAAATCCCATCCAAAAAACAAACATACATATATATATATATATATATTATATATATATATAAAATACAATTATAACAAATATAAAATAATATAAAAGAATTTTTTAAATTAATCATAATAACAATAACAATTTATTCTAGAAATAATTAATTCTATACAATTATATGAGTAATTATTATATATAATAAAAAAAAAATAGAAAATTAAAAAGTAGGAGCATCCTCCTATTTTCAACAAGCTGGCTAATTCCCACTGAATTAGGAGTGGCTGCACACGGCTCTCACACAACCCCTGTTCCTCTGTGTTTGAAACTGGTGGGGTGACTGTGGCATCCCAGTGCCATCCCATTGCCATCCCAGTGCCATCCAGTGCTATCCCAGCACCATCCCAGCACCATCCCATTGCCATCCCAGCACCATCCCAGCACCATCCCAGTGCCATCCCAGTGCCACCCCGGTGCCGTCCCACACCAGGTGGCTGTGCCCTGACTTACTGAGGCTGCCCAGCTGTTTGATGATGGCAGCCAGCGTGCTGTTGGTGACACACTCCAGCTCACTCGTCACCCCATCGGGAAGGGCCCCCCGGCACAGGTGCCGGGGCTCGATGTTCCTCTTCACCAGCGGCATGGCGAGCCCTCACGCCTCTGCTGGGAAAGGAGAGGAAGGAAAAATCAAAATACACAGCTCTCACCATTGTCTGTCCCCCCACACTGCCTCAGCCTTCTCCAGGAGGTTCCTCCTGCCCCGCTGGGACACGGCAGGTACAGCAGGGCTTTTCCAAGCAGGGCACGGATGCACTCTGGGGGTGCAACCCTTGGGGTGCTGTGAGCACACAGATGGCAGGGTGGAGGTGAGGACTTTGTCCCTACCTTTGTGCCACGCTTTGTGTCCTTTCCCACTCGCTTCCCAGAGCTGTTCAAAGCAGGAGCAAGCTCCCCTGTGCTGCAGCCCTTCAGCTGGCCCCGAACAGCCTCGTCCAGCCCAAAGAGAAGCGAGGAAGCGCTTGTAATGCCATTATTTCCAGCTCACTGCAGCCTCTCCAGGGTTTTATTTGTGCACACACTACACTGAGACAAGCTGCTGTGGCCAGCTCATCCCAGCTCCCTGCATGGCCCCCACAGCATCCCTGGGTGCCCCCACAGCTCCTGTGTGCACTCTCACAGCATCTCTGGATGCCCCCACAGCATCCCTGGGTGCCCCCACAGCTCCTGTGTGCACTCTCACAGCATCTCTGGATGCCTCCACAGCATTTCCAGGTGCCCCCATAACTCCTGTGTGCCCCTACAGCAACTTTGGGTGTCCCCACAGCATTTCTGGGTGTCCCCATAGCTCCTGTGTGCCCCCACAGCACCTCTGAGTGCCCCCACAGCATTTCTAGGTGTCCCCTTCTCCACTGTCCCCCTCTGAGCTGGGGATGGTTTGTTTTTTACAGGGTTTAAGGAGATGTAGGGAAACCAAAGGCTTCATCCCCACTGAGGGCACCCATGGGAGCTGCAGGGAAGGATGAAGGAGGGGCACCCTGGGCTGTGGGGTGCTGGGGACAGGGTACCCCGCTGGTGTAAAGGGTGAATGGTGGGAAACAGGCTGGGAAAAGAAGCAAAAAAGGAGCATTTATTATCCATGGTGGTGTCTCCTGGGACTGGGACACAGACCCTGGGACTGCGACTGGGACTGGAACTGAGACTGGGACAGAGACCCTGGGACTGGGACACAGACACAGACCCTGGGACTGGAACAGAGACCCTGGGATTTGGACAGAGACCCTGGGACAGGGACACAGACCCAGGGACAGGGACACGGACAGGCAGCCACCCCACACAAGGGGGTCTTGGGTGCCACGAGTGCCTCGGGGCTCAGCCCAGCTCCCAAAGCAAAGGCAAGCTGGTGGCTGGGCTGATAAGGACCAGAGGGCACCAGCAACATTCCCAGAGAGCAGAATCCCTCTGTTTCATATCCCCACCCGCCCCATCTTTCCCAAAATGTTGGCAGCCAGGGAGAAGCAGCTTCCGTCAGCCGCCGTGAGCGGAGCCAGCGCTGCTGCCCCAGCGGAGCCAGCGATCCGCAGAGTTCACATTTTTTGGCCCCGGCAGCGCTGGACAGAACAGTTTCCCATTGACAGCACCCGGCCAGCGCTCCCAGCAGCGGCAGCAGCTCCTCCGCTGCTTTCAAATGCAAATTCCAGCTCCCTCCGAGAAGGAGCCCGGAGCCTTTCCTAGGGCTGGGCTCTGCCCGGGGTGCCCGGGAGGGACCCGGCGCTGAGCCCTCCGCAGGGCTGCGAGGGGCTTCGGGCTCAGAGCGAGCTCTGTGTCCCCAGTGCTCCCCAGAGCCACTGCTCACGGATGGGGTGATGTCCCCGCCTCCCAAAAATCAAGATTTCTGTCGGCTGTTTGCTCCCGTGTGCCAGCAATTGCAGGGATCTCTGCTCCGGCCACGTACAACCCCCTCCCCTTTCTGGGCACCCCGAGCCCCCCAGGCTGAGTAAGGAGCTAAGGCAGCTTCACCCCGAGCTGGTTTTATGTGTCCCCCCAAACCTGCCCTCAGAGGCTGAGCCCTGGCACGTCCCAGGGCTGCAGGCACCGGAGGGCACAGGGCAGAGCCCTTAACGAGCTGCCCGGGCCCAGCAATTAGGAACAGGGAACAAAGAGCCATTCTCAGCATCCCTTTGGGCCATAGCCACGGGACACGGCCACTGGACACAGCCCTGGCTCCCAGGGCTCTTTGTCCCTGCACAGGGCACAAATTCCCAGGGGGAACTGGGGCCACCTGAGCCCGCAGCCCCCACGGGGACCCTGGAGCAGAATTAAGGGAAAAAAGGGATTTTGTGGTTTGAAACTTCCCAGGAGGGACAGATTGGAAGAGAGGCAGAAAGTGGGTGGGGGGTGTGATGGCAGCATTTGGGACTGTGCCATGGGAGGGCATCCCTGGAGGAGGAAAATCCCTTTAATCTCACTCAAAAGAGGCCAAACAAAAGCTTGCAGCAGAAGGAACCAAGAAGGAGTTTGGCACATTTTTATGCAAGGAGAGCCTGTAAAAGAAATTTTGACCAAATCAGAAAAATCTGCTTTCCAACCCCCCAGTTAATGGAGCACAGGGATCAGAACCCAGGGACAGCCCTCCCCTGACAAGAGTTCTCTCAGCCTGCTGCACCAGCAGCACCAAACCTCTGACTTCTGCCTCGCAATCCCAACTGCTCACCTAAAACCTGCCATCCCTAGGCCTGTCCCGAGTCCAGTTCTCTCAGTGGGGATGGGCTGCACGTGACTCCAGCTTCATTCCTGTCCTCTCTGGCACAGCTTGCTCACCCACCAAGAGGCTGCACACAAATCCTGAGCACTGAGCCTGGCCAGAGCCTCAGCAGGGGATGCTGAGCTGTGCCCAGCACTGCTCCTGCTCCTCCTGGTGTCACAGGTGATTTCCAGGACTTCAAGGCGGTGATTTTGGGTGGCAAAATCTTTTCCTCAGACCTTCAGGAAGAGGTTCCCAAGGGCAGGGATGGTCTGGTGCAGGCTTTAGGGTCATTTACATGGATTGAAGCCTATGGGGCTTCACTCTCTCCCGGGTGGAAGGAAGCCAGGAGCCCTCAGTGGGAAGTGAGGTCAGGATGCAGAAGGAAAATGGGAGCCACAAACTCAGCAGGAATTTCTTGGAGGGTGAAGGCAGGAGAAATGGGACCAGCCAGGGGCTGGTTCAGGTTTCAGGTGCACTGTGGGGATTCTCCCACCAACTCAGCTTTTCCCTGTGACTGGAAAGAGCCAATAGCTCTAAATCTTGTACTGCGAAATGCCACAGGTGAGGGAAGACACCCACCAGCTCCCCACCTGCTTCCCAAACCCAGTGGTGCAGCTTGGAAGGGAATCACAGCCCGCTGAGCTGGCCAGGCAGGGGAGGACACGGGACAGAAACGAGCTGTTTATGGTACCCTAAGATGCTGATTTCCCCCAAGGAACAAACTGCCAGCAGCACCCCAAACGCAGAGCTGCTGGCAGCACTGAGGACAGCCCTGTGGTCCCAGAGCAGCTCTGGGCAATAAGGGCTGCCCCTGTCCCTGTAGACCAGGCTGGGCTGGGACTTGCAGCTGCTGGCCCAGGGGTGACCCCTGCAGCTGGCTCCTTCCAGATGTTATCCTTCACCTCAGCAGCACCAGCATCTGGCAGTTTGATCCATCAGGGTAGAAGAGCAGCTCTCATTTTGTAAGACAGTCCAAAAAAAGGAGTTCTGTGTCCAGCCATTGCTCCTTACATTCTTTGCAACAGCTTTCCACGTGCATAACTGCACCCTCATCCCCTCCCTGCCCCCAAAGCCACTCTGTCCCACTGGGCTGGCATTTACAGCCCTGCAGGCAGATCCAAAGTGGCCTGAAGGACCAGGTGTGCTCTGGTGGCCCTGCAAGGAGGGACAGGCTGCTGGCCACAGATCTCTCAGGTGCTGCTTAATCCCTGGGGCAGATTTCTGGGTTGGTCAGTGCCTGGCACCTGCAGCCCTGGAGCCCTGCCTGGTGTGGCATGAGAGAGAAGGGAGAGGTGTCCTGGCTCCCACCTTCCTTCACTGAGCTGTGGTGGAGCAGAGAACAGTTCTGGGGTTTGTTTTCCATGGGTGATCCCTGCAGGAGACACCTGGGGTGGGAGTGGAGCCATGGCAGAGCTGGGCAGCACTGGAGGGAAGGATGCCCAAGCTGCAATCACCAGCTGCAAACAAGGCACCTCCAATGCTTCTGATGGGATCAGGGGTGCATGGAGCAGCAGGAAGGAGGGAAACCTCCTTCACTCTTCAGACAGCCAGGAAAAGCCCTGAGTTTGGGTTTGGGGAGGATGTGAGCGTGTGTGGTGAAGCAAACCCCTCAAGACTGTGAGCTGGGGTCAGCCCTGCCCTAAGCTCAGTTCTAGGCCAAGCTTTGGGGCAGTCTGTTTGCTCAGCCCTTGCAATCAGAGCTCTTTCCCAATCTGGGCTTCCCGGGGTCCTTCTGAGCCCTGAGGAGCAGGCACTGCCAGGAACTGGGAGCTTTTGCAAGGCAGCAAATCTTTGGTCGGATGCCAGGAGCCAGAGTAGTGAAAAAAAACAAGAGATATGTTGAAAAATCTATTAACCTTGAACAAAAAAGTTTGTAAGTGAATATTAAACAAACCAGAAGTGCCACATCTTGTGGTGGCTGCTCAGGACCCTGTTTTGATGCAGAACCCTTGGAATGGATGGGTGAGGAAGGGCTGGGGGCAGGAGGGAGGCACAAAGTAGTCCTGAAATAGTGAAAGGAGCAAAAAAATCCCTGAATGTGAAGTCAGGGAAAGGACAAGAGGCAGAGTTGACACTCAGTGGGGCTTGCAGGTGCCTGAAGGAGCTCATCTTGTGGAGTTTGGCAGGATGGATCTGGTAGAGAAGAGGGCTGGGAAGGATCTGGGGGTGTGTGATGCTTCTGAGCAGCCAGAAATAGGTGGAAGGTGTGAAAGCAGCAGCTTCTCGAGGTGTTGATCTGTGGAGCTCTGCCACAGCGTGGTGGAAACCAGCGTGGGATGGTTCAAAGAGCAACAGGACAAACCTGCAGAGGACAGAGAGGCCACCAGCAGCCACCTCATGGTTGGGGGCAACCTCTGGTTCAGGTGGCCCTAAACTCCTTCCTTCCTACCAGTGAGGGC